AAAAAAAAAAAAAAAGATTTGGTTATTTTGCTTTCACTTTTGTAGGTTATCTACCTCACTGCTTTTAATTTTTTCACTTCTTGGTGTTATACAACTTCACTATTGTTTTTATTGTTAAGTAGTTTATCTCTCTTTTGACAATTGTGAATTCATGAATTTATTCATTGTTATTTTTAGAAATGTATAATTCATTATTTTTTTGGTTATTATCTCTCATTCTTTTGATGTAAAACTTGAAAGTCTTTTGTCCATTCTATTTTCATATCTAGTCCTCTTATCAGCTCAGTCAACTTTAATATTTAGCTCATACTTTATACATTAAGTTTACTTTTTTTTTTTTTGGAGACAGAGTCTTACTCTGTTATCCCAGGCTAGTGTGCCCTTGTGTGCTCATAGCAACCTCAAACTCCCCAGCTCAAGCAATCCACCCCTCTCTGCCTCTCATGAGTGCTAGGATTAAAGGTTTGAGCAACTGCACCGCCCTGTCACTATGTTTAATCAGTCAAACTTTCCAAAAAAACTATTTAACATTTGATGTTCATTTATATATTATATGCCAAACCCTTTTATTTCTACAATGTCTTTAGTGTTGTTATAAATGTGCTGATATATCATACTTTGTCTATAAATCACTGTATTATACTTTATTTTAAACTCTTAGTAATTAAGTCCATATGTATAAATGACTTAGAATAGTAACTAACACAGTGAAGCCAGAAAAGTGGCCTACAAGATAAAGTCTGAGAAGTTAAGCTAAAGCAGTACAGTGTAGTCTGCTGACTTCACATTCCTCCCCACATCCCTTCCCCCATGATCTTCTATGATTATGAGGATGTTTGCCTCGGGAGACTCTGAGTCGGCAGTCACACATAGACGACAGGTGTTGTGATATTGGTAAAGGTTATTTTGATGATATGATTATTTTCTCTGATGATTCTCTTACGTATTTTGCTAAAGTGAAAATCATCTTTCTGTTATTTAAACATTTTGCATTGTTAGAATGGAGACCACTTTGATTTTACTTCCTATCAGACAAACTTTCTGGGTTGGTTTCCTTTTCATTATAAAAGTTATTAGAATTATAACTGAGGCAGACCAGAATTGAGAGTCTACTCTCACTGTTCTCCAGAATTGCTGGTATTCTGACAAATAAAGAATATTTGTTGGACCTAAAACCCTGTCTCTGCATATTGGCTGACAGTGGTAGGTGGCTGGACCCACTTCATCTGATAACAACAGTATATGGACAAAATTATTTACCACTCTGATCACCAAATTTCCATTTGTTCACACTATTCATTATTAAGCATTTGTTCTTACTAAATTTATTTTATTGTCCTATCTAAATGTTGATGAAAATTATGAGGGAGGTTCAGTATGTTGTCTTGATAAAATCTAAAGTCAATAGGCATGTATCACTAGTTTCCTTTAAATAATATATTTTACTAATACAATAAATGTAAAGTACAGCAATTATAGTCATATGTTTCATCGTACAACAGAAGTAAATTTAGATCATTCATTGATTACACCAAAGCCTCATTCTACATTTTATTCCCAGAATTTTCAGTGTTAACTGTTTAGAAAAACCTAGAAACACAGAATACTACAAATTTGAAATGAATACTTCAATAATCAAAAATTATCAAAGTAAATTCAAAAAGTAGAATATAGAGATTGTGTAAAATGGAAAATGATAAAATTAATTGCAAATCTATCCACAAAGACAATGCTAAAGCCACATTTCATAACTGGTAAATTCTATTAAACATTTAGTGAAGAATGAATACCAACTCTTCACAAAACCCTCCAAATAACAGGTGAATGTTATTGGCAATGCATTCCAAATCACTCTGTAAGAATGTATTACCCTAATATTAAAGCCAGATAAAAACATTCAAGTAAAGAAGACTATGGTAGGCCAGGCGCAGTGCCTCATATCAGTAATCCTAGCACTAGGAGCTGAGGCCAGTGGATTGCCCCAGCTCAGGGAGACTAGCATGAGCAAGAGTGACACCCCATCTAAAAATAGCCACACATTGTGGCAGGTGCCTGTATTCCCCTGAGCCTGAGACTTTGAGGTTGCTGCGAGCTGTGACACCATGGCACTCTACCGAGGGAAACAAAGTGAGACTGTCTCAAAAGAAAAAAGAAAAATAGGTT